CCAGTTACGTATTGCTTTATCAAACGATGAATTCAATAAGTTTTTGTTATCATCATCACTAGCATTTAAAACTTTCATCTTTATTAGAAATAATCGAATATTTTTCTGGACAATGTATTCAATGGTTCGAGTAAAGGTTTAAATGTATCACGAAAATAGCATTAGACCCATAACAATTGTCGTCTCATATCTATTACCTACGTCTGATTTTTGATTATCAATTAAAGTTTCTAACAAAACTTTTTCTTTATCTATTAGAAATAATAATTTAATATAATAGACGAAGAGCTCACAACACGAATTCAACGTCATTTTCATTAAAAGTTTTGATATTCTTATTTATTTCACTAAGCATTTCTATATTTGAATCTTGAAGTCTGGTGGTGTATGTTGGTGCGTGAGGGCGAATGCTTAATTACACCCCACTTAAATTGCACTCAAGTTACGTTATGACCATTAGGTTTGTGATTACACCAAATGATAATACATTTTATCAACATAAATTATTGCATAGACAGACCGAAAATAGTTGGTGTGTGCAGAACCAACTGTAAACTTAAAAATGCTCGTAACTACATCATTTTATTAAGATCAAACCCGGAACTAAAATAAAGTAATCAACGTAGATCAAGAATATAAAACGACAGACTGAATATTTTGGTGTTTTATACTTACTAGAACTCATTAAAACATTATTTAAACATTAGGTAGGTATATAAATAACATATTTTAATACATATAACTAAAAATTATATTTTGTATTCGAATATATAAAAGAAAGTGTTAAAAATTATTTTAATTTACATCATTAATCCTTGTGTTTTTAGAAGTGTTTTTGTTGCCAATTATTAATCAGATTCGTCACCACTAGTATCACTTGCTTCATTTTCTGAAAAAAAAATTATGAATTTTGTAAAATTAATTATAGTTTTTTTTATTATGGGGATCTGAATGTATTGTACTCACCGTTATCACTAATGTTTTCTTCTTCGAAACTATTTCTTATAACGACATCTTCAACAAATGCTGGGTATTGCGGTCCCTTGAACCACAGTGGAATGTACGAATTGTCTTCTTCAATCCAACCATTATCCACAGGGATGAAGGTAGTTGGAGTTTTAGAAATAGCATTTCTCCATATACTGCATATATAATTAACTCGAAGAATTTGTTGTTGTAATTCTTGGTGGCATGGTGGAATGTTTGACGAATCACAATTTTTTAATTTAGCTTTAAATGTTTCTTTGTCTTTTTTAGGTTTATATGCATTACAAAATATTTCAAACCTTGCTTCATTAACAGTGATTACATTTTTTATTCCATATATTTGACATACAAATTTTTCTACTTCAGAAAATGTTTCTGAGGATATTTTTTCTGATTTTCCTAAATCACTTAATGACTTTTGAAAACTTGAATTTTTTTCTAATATTTTGAATGGTTTCTGCTTTCCTTTTCTATAAAATGCTGGAGTAAAATCACAGCCTGTCAATGCATGAAAAGCTAATAGTGATGCAGAAAGTTCAATACCAAGACTTAAGAACAATTTTGAAACATCAATGTAACGCAAATTATTTGTTGAAATGAGACCCACTTCAAGCCAAACATTGACAGAGTTGATAAATTTATACATGTTACCCAAGATAATTATTAAAACATCCGTATCATTACACCTTATTATTACTTGTTTTTCTGGTTCTTTTGATATATGATATAAATGATAAATAATTTTCGTGTCTGCTTCTTCGTGGTTACATGATAATAATTCATTTATGCTTCTTAAGACATTACCATTATGTACTATGAATGTGTAGTTACAGCTTTTATGGCTTAAATTTATTATTTTATTTCCAATGAAAACAGGTAATTGAATCCAATGTTCAATTAAAAAATCGACAAATGCTTCTTTAAAATGGCCATTTCTCAACTCTTTTATAAAATCAGCAGGTCTAGTTTGATCGGGTCCAGATATAACATATTTGGAATTGTTTTGAATAGATGGTGATCTTTTTTTGTGTTCACTATCTTTAATCGATGGGGAAAAATATTGATCGAAAACAATATCTATTCTATTGGCTTTATATCGTGTAATATTTTTTAAAAACATCGTAGAAATACTACCAAAAGTTTTTGGAAACTCTCTCATTAGATGTAGTACAAAAAATCCGTCTATTATGACTACATCTGGGTATTCAGGTGGTACATTTGGTTGACTAATTTTTTGTTCTAAAATTTTCATTAATGCTGACTTATCAGTTTTGTACATGGTTCCATCTAAATGACACATAGAGGTCGGAATAGGTGTCAATGGATATTTTAAAGTTTCTAATACGTCTATTTGTTTTTCTAGTGAAATTCCAAGCATTCTTCCAAACAAATTCCTTTGCATTCTTATTTCCTGTACTTTCCCAACAGTAGTGCTAATTTTTTTTTTAATGTTTTCTTGTGAAAAATTTAGTATTTTTTGTTTTTCTATTGGTTTTTCAAATCGACTTGAATCAATTGCACAATTTGAAATAAATTTTTCACGCAACTCATTGAGTAAAAAATTAGTAGTTTCTGTGGAAGCTCCTTTTCCAGTTAAAATGTTAAACAAAACATTCGGGTCAATAGTTTGATCAAAAGGGTTAATATAGTTTTTAATGATCACAACAAATTTTTGAACAGCTGAAGATGCCTTTTCTATTTTACTTTTTTCTAATTCATTGGATATATCTTGTCTACTTTTTAAGCCAATATTTTCCAAGACATGGGAAATAATTGTTGATCTTAAACTATGACTTTTAGCCCAACGCTGACGGGCCGATATCGAATTGGTAAAATGAATAACTCCCGTAAGTCTCTTAGATGCGTCTGCATTAATTGTTTGTTCTAATGTGAGATCTATTGGTTGTCGTGAAAAGCTTTTTGAAGTTCGTTTTATTCCAAAAGAACCACTTTCAAAATCAATTTTCAAATCGGGATGAGTTTCATCTAGCTTTAAAATATTATCATGATATTTGACCATCCATCGAGCATAATTGGGCTGGTTAAAGATAAAAAATAAATTTGTCATTTTCGGCAATATATAACAGAATAATTTAAAATCTCCTACTCGTATACTTTTAGACAGTAACAAATAGAAGTCAACCAGTTGTATGAAATTCATATAATATTGAGCAGTTTTACCGTGTAATCCAGACAGAGAATCCTCTTGGAATTTTGAGTATAAATTAATAAGTTTTTTTAAATTTTCATTTTCAGTAAGATCTAAATTATAATTCGTACTTTTTGTCAACAATGCCTCTAGTTCCAATAATATGTCTTCGGAAACGTCAATACATTCTTTTTCAAGAAATAATTCAAAATGCAATATTTGCAAACCAAGTGCAATAACTGGATAAAGTCGTTTACATCGATTAAAATGTTTTCCTGTTATAAAACCGTTGACTGACCCACTTGCTAATAGTTCACTTTCAACCATTATATATGTTATACCACACTCATCGATAAATTTTCCAATTGTTTTAAAATAGGCCATCATAATATGGAAAGCTCCTAAATTAATAAATAGGTTATCAAATTTAGGTTGCTCTGTCGTTTGAATTTGTAATGCGACTTTGGCTATAGCTAAGTCATATGTAACTGACATAAAATTTTGATTGCATTCATTGGCAATCTTTTGCGCTTGTACCATTGTTTCGTAAATTACTGTAGTATTTGTAGGAGACATATTAATTGGAGTTAAATAGAATATTTTTTGTTTACTACCATGGTTATTCGTTGTTAAACTATTATATCCAGTCCACATGGGAGTATTTTTAATTTTTAAAGCATGTGACAAAACCCACAACAAATCTCGTTCTTTACATATTTTAAGCGTATTTGGTACAATTTGTCGTAATTCATTATCATTATTCACCAATGTCCCAATCATTTTTGGTTTTTTCCTATAAGGTGTTACTTCTGGTGTTATAGCCTCAAACGTTCTTCTTTTTTTTTGATTTTTTTTTCTATATTAATACTATTTATATCAGTTATTATATCGGATGTATTTTGAATAGATGGCAACGGTAATTGTTGAAAAATTGTTTCATAAGAATTTTCTTCGAGCTCATTTTGATAAAGAATCCCTACTGTGTCATGGAGTGTATCTTTCCCATTCGATGTTTCAACAAATCTATCAAAGTTATCAAATGCAACACCAGTGGATAATTTTGGGGAAAGTAATACACCTGGCGGGCATAGTCCTAACTGATTCATTGATGAGTATGTGAGTTCGGTTTCTAGTTCCTCAATAACATTATAACTGGTACATTGATTGTATCTATTAAGAATATCAATTACTTTTCTACTACTTGTTAAACTTTTTAAGGTTATTCCAAGTGTTATTTGCTTTGACGGTTTAACTCGTCCATTAGCATAGGCGCAAATAGGGAATTACATTGGCGGGGGCTCAAGCCCTTTAATATATTCAACAAACCCCCCCCCCCCTTCACACGTCACACCAAATAAAAATATTACTATTTTTTTTTTTATTAGCTACGAGTATAAAATTATTACTTATTAAAGCACATAATATTATATTTATTATTAACTAGATAATTGGTTACAATATTAAATTTATTTTTCTGTTGGATTTGGCAAAGTCATTTAAAACTGAGACGCTATCAATATTGATGTCTTTTTCAATATTAATTATCCCTAAACTGCTAAATCTTTCTTGGAGCATCGTTGATCGCATCCATGTTTTCAATCTCCTCATTGCAGAAAATGACCTTTCACAAGTAGCGGAATTGATTGGCAAAGTTATTGCTACATTAAATAATTTATAATAATTTGGAAAGATTTGTTTGCTATTCAATGAGTTTAAGTGATTTTGCAGAACTTCCAAATCAACATTAACTTTCAAGACATTTTTGATAACCATCATTTCTGATCTTAAAGAATCTTTGGAAACACCGAATAAATCCTAAAAGTTATTATTTACAAATTAATTTTCAAAAGTATACGGTAAATAAAAAGTAGATTCAAACATTCAATAACATTGTTTAGCACAATTTATTAATATAAATACATTATAAATTAATATTAGATTTAGTGTTTATAAAAATAAATACTTCTAATAATTCTCATATTACCTTATAATGATTAATGAATTGTAAACTTTCATTAAAGTTCAATTTTAAAAAGTTGTCTACAGATTGGGCTATTTCCATACTTTCTGGTGAAAACCGTTTTTCCATATTGACAATAATAGTATCAAGTATAGGATAAAAACAATGCATTTTCCAATAATTTTTAATTATTGAAGTACCCATTAGTACATCATTAACATGGTCTTCTTCTGCCGAAGTATTTGATAGTACAGTATACTGTTGTAAATATGTAGGTTCCCTTCTACGACGTTTAGAGCCACCTGAATTAATTAAAATTATATTAATAATTTGAATCATAAATTTATTTTATTTTAATAGGTATTATTATAATAACACACCTTGTGAAGGAATATCCAATGACACATCATGTTCTTCACAAAATATAGTAATACAATTCCACAGATTATCAAAATATACATCTGAACGGTTATTTTTCAGAGTATCAATCACACCACATACTAATGAACTAGATTTTCCAAGAGTTGTAGACTTTGATTGCAATTGAGTACTTAGAATATTAATAATTTTTAAAACATCATTAAGAACAAACAAATATACCACAAATTTCCCATTTTTTATTGTAGACAGAAGACCTATTGCTTGGGCAACATCTTTATCTTTTTGTAATTCTATTTCTTCATCAGGAATATAAAGAATAGGTTTAAAATTTTCGATGACTGAGTTACAACTCTTATAAAGGCAGACCCATCGAGTATCTGATAACTGTGGGATTTTTGTTTTTTTAACTCCTAGATTTTTTTGAATGTCAGTCATTTTTTTATTTTTCGTAGGTTGACTAAAATGAACATACAACGCTTCCAAGCCATTAAATAAATTCCGTGCGTCCTAAAATTAAATTTTAAAATACTTGATGTCATATAATTTTTATTAAAGCACAGAATTTAATACTCCATAATATTTGATCTCACCTTTAAATGTTTACACATATCAATGACCACAAGGTTTAATTTGTGTGCCATACAGTGTACATAAATAGCCTTAGGATGTATTTCTTTAAGCTTAGCCTGAACTCCACCAGTATGACCCGACATCACGCTAGCACCGTCATATCATTGACCTATTATATTAATTTTATCCAAGTTCAAAGAATTTAAAAACTGTAATAGAACACCAATTAAACTGTCAGCATTTTGACTTTGAGATACATCAACAAATCCAACAAATCGTTCCTCTACTTTAAGGTTTTTTGGGTAACGAACACACACAGCTAACTGTTCTTCCTTGTGGCATCTAGAATTTTTTTTTTATAAAACAATTATCAAAATGTAGCTTAAGACTAGTTAAGTAAATAAACAATATAATATTAAGACATTACCGAGCTTCATCACACGAAACGCTATACATTCCAGCACTTATTATATCTTCAACAATAGTATTCCTTACATGTTTAGCGCATATCTCAATGATTTCATTTTGTATTAACCAACTTGTATGATTTGTTGGTTTAGCATAATTTAAAGCAAAAGTTGGATTATACTTTGCCATTAGTTTGCATGCTTCTTTTAAGTTACCTACAGTAAACATGATAAATAATATAAATAGGTATATAATTAATTAACATTAGTTAGGTAGGTACTTTTAAAAATAAAAAAAATATATGGTACTAAAATCGCCCAATCACCTTGATTCAAAGATGTTTCATTTTCAATATGACCTCTAAATGCTACTCCTTGATGTGCCAAAAATAATATGATATCAATTAATGTTAGCATGTACTCTCTATTTTCTAATATTTTATCACGGTGTGCATTTGTAACTAATGTATGAACAGAACCAGTAGTTTTAGATTGGATATGTGCATGCCACTTTGTCATACAAGTCAAATGGTACTGACAACTAGAATGCAACTCCAACTTTGATTTAGTATATTTCAATCCTATTCCTCTAGAGCCAAAAATCTACAAAATTAATATTTAGTATGTTTATATAAATAAATAATCTACAAAAATGAATATATATATGTATATATGTATCAAAATAGTCATTAAACACTTACTTTTTTCCAATTTCTAAATCCTTTAGTTGAAAATTCCATGTTAGCAACAGTTCTAGACCCAAACATTCTACAAGGATAGCAAAATATAGCGTCCTCAACCACACTATACTCTATCAAATCAAAACGAGTATATACTGTAGGAGAAAAACCTCTATTTTGCAAACCAAATTGTGTCTGAGGGTATTTCTAAACAGAAAAATAAAATTATTGATTATTATTTAATAATTATTAGTTTTAAAACTTGTGCTACAAATTCTATGTTAGAAGATAAAAATATATTAGAAACACTATAATGTATATTTTATAGGTAGGTAATATACTATTATATTTATTATTTTAATATTTTAAAATAAAATAAAAATACAAATAAATACAGACTAAAATATCTAATTATTGTACTGCACAATTTAGCATCAAAATAATAACTAGGTATATAATTAAATTGTAAAACTTACTTCTAATATAGGTTTAGCAGGACCTGAATCGATATCATTTAAATCATTTATCCTGGTATTTGACTGAAAACTATTAATTTGTGGATCTGTGCAGGTCTGTGAGTTTGATAGCAGATTTTCATTTTCTTCTAGTAACGTTGTAACGCTTCCAGATCCAAATGAATTAATCTTTCAAAATGTGAAATGTTAATTTAAATTAAAAAAAATAAAAATGTTAAAGAATGTTAGGTACTTACAACTCTGGACGATGACTGTAAACTGCCATCATTGTCTTCTTTGATATCTTTTTCAGTAGGAGTACTTGATACACTTTTTTTTATATTAAAAATGCTAAATACTGATTTCTTATCCATGATTCAAATAATTTTTAATGTTTTTAATATGAAGTAACTTGTTTATAACAAACGTTTTTAAAATTAACATTAACTATGACACTGGCTATTATAGTAACAATGTTATATTAATATAACTACTATAAGTATAGTGTTATACTGACAAACTAGACAAACCGTCAACTGTCCACTGAAGACTGAATCCTAATAGAAATAGACAATAGTGCGTACACTCCGTACAAACATATAATAACATATAATAGCTGTTTACCAGCTAACCCGTATGATATACTCGTACACATATGTATATAATATATTAATATCATAATTCATAGTATCCTACCATTTGACTATAACTTGTATATTTATAAGTCTTAGGCCCATGACTGTTTTCGAAATATCGCGCGATATTTATGTTCTCAATGACAATGTTTCATAAATCAATTAATCTATAATTAAAATGTAAAAAAAAAATTATATTGACCATATTCTACACTTTTACAGTCATAGTTAGTAATCGAAAACATTTGATTATTAATAGGGACATTAAATTTTATTATTAGAGTAAATATTGGGGGGGCTTGGATGGAATCAGGGGGGGCTTAGCCCCCCCAAGCCCCACCCTATTTGCGCCTATGTCCATTAATCACAGCATATACTAAGTCACTTGCCAGTGATTCAACTTTACGGCGAGTTTCATCACTGTTTCTACGTCTTATATCAGGGCCTCCCACCAAATGTGTTATAAAATTAATTAATTTATCAGGTAACGAACATTCTCCTTTAATTAAATCTTCAGTGCTCACATTTTCTGGCAGATTTTCCTTTTTAATGTTTAAAATTTCCCGGCGTAATATTTGAGCGACATTCAATAATTCAGAATTATTTTTTAAATCACTTAATGACACGTTGGATAATGGAACGTCGATATGAAGTATAATTTTTTTATTATTTAATACTTCAAACTTAACTTTATTTTCAAATGTTCTTTTTAATTTATCTTCGAGGTGTTGTGAAGTATAAGATGAGTCTACAAACAAGCCATCACTGATTTCACATAATAAGTTTAAATATTCGTTATGTAAAACATTTAATAAAATAATTTTTTTAAATTTTATTATGGATTGTTCAATTACATCACAAATAGACAAATACGCAATATTATGGAAATTACGGTTTATATGCCAAGGGGATTTTTGGAAATTAAGATGGTCTTCATTTTTTTTTTTAGAGTCATGAAATTGATTGTATTTATTTTGGTAAGCTACTCGACAAATATTATGATATTTAACTTCTTTGGCTACAAAATCTATGTTAGAAAGTTTTGTTTGCATACTGACATCGTTCATTTCATTCATATAATGTTTTATACTTAATTCAAAATTTTTAGTTTCACACACATGTAAGCTTTGAGCCTTTCCATTATGTTTTTTACGGGTTTTTCACAAAATATACATACAGATTTAAAAATAGACGCATTACCTTCAATTAATTTTGTTGATTGATTTGACCGAGTATTTATTTCACATACAGGGCTCGATGATGTTGAAGCATTAGATAGTTGATTTTGTAATATTGAGGGCAATGCAGTAAATTTTCTGTAACATTTTATATGATAGTCATCATGCGAATTAAAAACTTCCGGTACCAAAATGTCACAATATTTAAAACTATTTTTTTGTCGGATTTTCAATGAAGAATTAAATTTTTCTTTTGAATTATCGTTAAACAAAACCACTTTCTCCACTTCTTCACCATTTGAACAAATTAAACACGTTTTTTGTATTGACATTATAAATTTAGTTTAAACGCACAGCACATAGTGATAAATATTACACGCTGCACTGCTGCACAACAGTAGGTACTGCACAACTGAAATATTGTCGTCAATGAACAACTAATAATGCACCCATTTGTTTTTATAAGCACGGAACGTTTGGTTATATAAATATTATCGAACTAATATGGTACTATTAATACCTTGAAATTACATGTTTACAAATATTTACAGAGATAAACTCATTGTCATTCCCGAATTCCAAATACATACTAATATAGTTATCGTTTATTCGTTTGACGAAGTTGAGAGTAATACCAACATTGTACCTATGATTATATTATATTTTAATGCGTTCTGGTAAGTATAAAACACCAAAATATTCAGTCTGTCGTTTTATATTCTTGATCTACACGTTGATTACTTTATTTTAGTTCCGGGTTTGATCTTAATAAAAATGATGTAGTTACGAGTACTTTTTAAGCTTAACTGGTCTGGCTTCTGAAAGCACCAACCTATTTTGGTCTGTCTTATGCAATAATTATGTGATAAATACTATCATTTGCGTAAAATCCAACCTAATGGTCATAAGTAATTGAAGTAATTTGTGGTGTAATAGCACTGCGCCCTCACGCACCAACATAACACCACCAGACTTCAAGATTCAAATATAGAAATGCTTAGTGAACAAATAAGAGCAAGGTAACTGAACGAAGTAATACCGTT